CCTCAATTATAAAGCACTGTTTATTATTTTCACGATGGATGACATGCCCGCTAATATTGTGTAAACCGAGTCTTTATTTTCTATTTCAAATGTATTTGATAGAGTCCCATGAGAGTCATCAGAAATAAGGTACGGGCATAGGTTTTGAGGCAAATGACGCACCGAACCGCATGACGGGGACTAGGAGCGGCAGCTCGTGTCTCGTACCTTAAATCCAAATTTTATATTTTTTTTTGTGTAGACTTAGGACCGGTCATGTATACATCCAAATTTTATATTTTTTTTTTGTGTAGACTTAGGACCGGTCATGTATATTCATAGTCCGACCGCTTCTACTACTTTTCCTGGATTATGTTGCTGGTCTAGCGACATTTGGTATCTTTTATATATTTCTTTTGGAGTGCTTCCCTTTTCTTTTTCTCTTCGTGTGTCTTACATGTTTGGAGCATTTTATATTGTTTCGTTCTATGTATTTGGAACTTACAAAAATGTAATATATGCTTACTAAGCACCCTAAAATTTTAATTCTTTCTACCTAAAAATATTGATAATAACATATTAAGATAATTAAAATTTTAGGATTAAAACTTTCAAGATTTTTCAAATCAGTCTTTACTTTCTGCATGGCCTTTGGGCCAGTTTTAAAAATGGTTCGCAAGCATGGTTATAGCCCAGTCATATTTAATATGGCCTTCATGCTTAGTAATGTGGTAGATAACTTCATCATACTTGCATGTCCCGAGGAGTAGCCCCCGTGCTTCTCCAATCCGACTAGCTCAACATAACTTTGCTTAGGTGGTTGTCTAGCATTCTTAGGGTGCTAGGAGGCTCCCCAATCCAAACGAGGTTCTTTCTCCTCCTTTCCCGAGACATCCTTGTCATTTTGGTATGTATAAGTCCCACTTTTTCAGAGCTCCAATCGATAGTCAAAGGATAAAGTCTCGTTCATTTGACCATAGGGCTACCGAGGTCCTCGGGGACAGCACAATTCATGGATTGTTGATCGGGGACCTCAGGACGTGTTGGGTCGACTACCTTCACCACCAGGTACACTTGGGGTCTTAGTGGCTTGGGATGACGGGTCTGTGGGACCCCGACTTGACTACCTCTATCTACTAGGGATTACTCTTCCCCTCCTATGACAACCCCTATAGAGCCCTATCTTTTCATTAGCCTTCGTTGGCATCACCTTAATGACCCAATTGTCGATGAGCTGTAGGCCCGTTTGGGATACGACAATTTGTCCTCTGCCCTTATGGCCCGGATGTGCTTTGACATATTGATTCCCCGTTGGGATGATACTGTTGTTTTGTAGGCTTCATATGCTGATCAGTCAGTTATTCATGTGGGAACCATGAGAGACTCACTCTTCGCTCAATGGTTTAGCGAGAGCTTAGAAGCATCAGAGCATCCCCCCTGTGAGATAACCTCCCTTGATGACCCTATGCTAGTTGTCATTTCTTAAGTAAGCAAACCCCTTTTGGATCAAGAGTTTTCTTAGCCAACCCCTAAGATGTAATTAACTAAGTGGGATACGTCCCCTTAGAAGCACTCATGACCCCAGAACAAACACCTACTCTTTAATCTCTGGTTATAGATAGTCTACATAGGTATTCTTTCATTGATATTGGTTTAAGGTGCCTCTGCCCAATCTTTTTTGGGCAGATCCTTTTAACATATCCTTAAGAGGTTTATCACACGTAGGTTCTCCACATTATTATTTTTTCTCTTATTTGTCGCTTTGTCTTATGTCCCTCCTTTCCGGTTCCTCTATTCTCCTGATCATTCATATGACTAGAAAGAGAGACTTATCCGGAAAAGGGAAGTATATGACGATCGATAGGCTAGTGGCTTCTTCTAAAATAAAAGAGAAAAAACGAACGAAAATAACTACCATATAAGTTTTATATTGCATGGAATAATTAAGATTATCACATGAATAAACATCATAAACATATGATCACAAGTAATAGTATGGCACATGAACCCAATCCATATGTGTAGCACATAAACCACCAGATTTAAATTTCCTTTCTTTTCTCTTTAATTTTATTCATTCTTTTTTTTAAGGTGATGGCTTGGGTTAGGGTTACGAAGGAGGGTGGTATGGTGAATGGTTGGACTTGGGTTGGGGTTAGAAAGGAGAGGGCAAGGATGAATTGGTGAGCTCAGTTTAGGTGAGAAAGATGAAATGAGAGTAGAGTGTAAGGTGTGGTGTCTTTAAAGTTTTTGGTAGAGCTTGTGGGATGAGAATGTGATGAGTTTTGAATGTTTAGAGTTTTGGATAACTGAGGAGGTTTAATGGTTTCTATGTGTGAAGAGTTTGGATAAGATTGAATCGAGATGAGTTGGAAGTTTCATTTGGTATTTCAAGTTAAGGTTAATGTATAGTGTGGTATGACGATAAGGTGGCTTTCAAGTAGGTTGAGAGAAGAAGAGAAATGGTGGGTCATGTTGTGTGTTTTTTAGGTTAGAGTTAGGGTTAGAGAATGGATGTTTAGTGTTTTGATTTCAGGTTAGAGTCAGGTGTAAGTGTGTGGTGACTTGTGCAAGAGGTTTTAGGTACGAGTAAGTAAAGAAGGATGGAGTGCGTGAAGGTCTTAATTTAGGGTTTGGGAAAGAAAAGTAGTGTTAAGGCCTCAGTTTATGGTTTAAAAAGGAAAGAGTAGTGGTAAGGTCTTGTGTATAGTGAGAAATTGAGAAAGAAGTGGGTGGGAGCTCAGTTTGGGTAATGAAATTGAAAGGTTAAGGTTTGGTCATGGGGAGAAACGCGTAGGAATGGTCATGTGGGTCTTGGTTTTGGTGATAAATAAGAAGGGATAGAGAGATAGACTAGGGTATGGTGAGAAGTAAGACGAAAAAAGGAGATCCATCAAAATTTCCTAGTCTACATCATGCAAAGTTCAATTGAAATGAAAAAGGATAAGGACTTATACCTTTGCTTGGGTTTTTCTAATGAATTTTGCTTGAAATAAATGTCCTCCTTACTTTCCTTGGTGATGCTCTCAGTTAGAAGATAAGAGAGGGGAATGAGGGGTTTCTCGGTTCATGGAGAGGAGAGGAGAGGACGAGGGACTTGGTGGTTTCACTTTATAGGGAAAAATGAGAGAGAACATTTCTCAAGTTGGGGAGAAGAGAGGAGAGGGAAGTCATAATAATGAGAGAGGGAGAGAATATGTGGGCGGGTTTTGGTTGAGGAACATTTAAGTGGGAAAAAAAGAGAGGGAATGGCTAAGAGGGAGTGGAGAAAATTTTGAATTTTGGATGTAGGGGAATCCAAATTTGGGGTGGTTATAGTGGTTAGAGAAAAAAAAATGTACACTACATTTTGAAGAGAAAAATGCAAGGAATTTGTGGTCCGATTAGATGTGAGAAAGCTTGTTTTTAGCTCAAGATATTTTTCAATTTGAAGTGGCTTGGTATTTATGACTAAAATTATGACTTTAGCTCATTTCATAGAGAAAAATACAAGAAATTTGGTGAGGAAATTGGTTTTAGCCAAAATGGGCCCCATCTCATAATTTTTCATGTCGAAGTGTGGGTCCCACCTTTTAAGAGAAAATTTTGATATATTTTGAGTTGGAGCTTTTGGTGGGGTTTCTTGAATTAAATGATGTTTTTTCCGGTCATATTTAAGTTTATTAAAGTTTAGTTTCGACTTGAATCTATTTTGAAGTCATTATAAGGATTATTATTTTACTATTAAACTTATCATCTAAATTATCGTCGACTTAACATTCCTCCAAACGGAGTCATATTCTAGAACGAAGGAGTTTATTTAAAAGATTTTGATGATCCGGATGTACTCATTAAGCTCGTTTTAAAAAGTAATTATTTGTTGAAACATTTTTATTTGGGAATTTTTTTCATGCACGAAAGCCCAAATTGCATAATTTTGCATAAAAAATGGTCGCAGATGATCATAAAACTTGTTTGCATGCTCCTCATAAGTTATTATAAACTTCATGTAACATACCGAAAATATTTATGATCACCAAATTACTATATGGCGAAATTGTTATTTCACGGTGCTTGTTGAAATATTCATGTATGAAAAATTGAAGTGAAACATTTCATATAAAAATTTTATCATATAATCATCAAACTTGTTTACATAGTTTTTATATGTGATAATAAATATCACTGAACTTCTAGAATGAAGTTCAAAATCTTACGATGATATCTGGAGAGAAAACGATAAATTCAGTGTGCATTTTGGTTAAGACAGAGTTTTTAGGTCAAATTTAGGGTTTTGTTGGAGTTGGTTGTATTGATTTTGTTTTGATTTATTTGATTTCAATTATGTTTAGTTAGATATTAACTTAGGGATTATTGGTTTTCGTTCAAGTTTTATATAAAGTGAGGTTCAATTAGATATGAGCCAAGGAAATCAATTGACTAAAAAGTGAGGTCAATAATGACCAACAAATTAGTTTATTTTTCTTGCAGTGATCAAAGTAAGCAAAAAAGTAGCTTCATGATGCCACCAATTTAAAATCAATTATAGTAACACACAATTTAATTATAACTAATACTAGGGAAGATTTACATACATACCATGTAATTCCTATGCATTTCCATATCTAACGCATAAACTTCAATTTTAACATATATGCTACTTTACCTATTCATAAAAAAAAGATGTATTTTACTTTTTAAGACTTAAAATAGTGGTATTTATATGTAATATGAAAGATTTGGATGGTATAAATGTAAAAAAAGTAAACTTTAGTGATTAGAATTGTATAAATAGAAATTAGTTGGCATACATGCAAATGCCCCCTAATGTTAAATATAAACCAGGTTTAAGTTCTCCGATTAAACTTAGTTCATATGGTAGAATAAAACAGGAACAAAATCTATTTATAGTCATTATTTTAACATAAGAAAATAATACACCCATTGCTTCATTTTTTTTTTTTCTTTTTGACGTTTGAATACAAATAAAGGCTTATGCACTGTATATATATTTTTCATATAAGAGAATGCAAAAAATTTATAACTAGAGTTGAAAAATAGTCGATAAAGAGAAAAGAAGAAGATAGTAATAGTACATAAAGTTTATAGGACTTGAGCCATGATATTTATAGTGGAGGAAGTTTGAGTAAGATAACTTGAGCACCATGTTGAGGGCAAAGAGTTAAAATAGTGTGAGGAGCATGGGTATAAGATGGTGACAATTCAGCTGAAAAGCGTTGCAGAATTCTCGCCAAGGCCATTTTTGCTTCTATAAGTGCAAAGCTCTGGCCGATGCAGATTCGAGGACCCCAACCAAATGGAAAAAAGATGAGTTGGTTCTTTGTTGCATTTGAAACTCCTTCAGAAAATCTATCAGGGTTGAATTCTTCAGCATCCTCACCCCAAAACTCCTTGCTATGATGGAGGAGGAGGATAGGCAACACAAGTTGCACTTCTGGAGGAAAAGTAAACTCTCCCAACTTTACTTCTTTGTAAGTTTGTCGAAGAAGTGTGACTCCAGGTGGATATAATCTTAGAACCTCATAGAGAATCATAGTCAGCTGAAAAAAGAGTATCGGATCTTAGTATAGCGACCTTAGCATCAGCTATAGAAGGTCTATGGAGTGTTTTGAGGAAACTTTTTGTTAAAAAACAGGAAGCATGAAGATGTAACATTTTAAAATTATATATATAAGAATATATTTACATAAAATACACAGATAAAAATATCCCACGTTATATCATGAATTTTAAGTAAAAATTCTATGTTTATAGTTAATATTTTCTTATTTTGAATAAATATCTTTATATCCTTATTCATTTATGTATCAAGATATGCTTATTCAATTTTTCTGACAATCATGTGTTTCATAGAAATAAGAGCAAAATTTGAACTAGTTAGTGAATCAAAGGTTGTTATTCTTGGTACATCCATAAAACTAAAGGCTTTTTTTCCTTAGTAATAATAAAAATAAACTAATGAATTGCACTTAGATGAAAAGCAACAGATACATTGATACTTACAATCCTTAATCGGTTTAATTCCTCAAAGGTAGGTTTGTTTTGGCCAAACACCTGCAAAACCTCTTCTCTTGCCTGATCCTGCCAGTATGGATGCATGCTGAGTAAAATCATGGTCCATGTAAGAAGAACTGATGTTGTCTCCTGACCAGCAAAGTAAAATAGCTTGCACTCCTCAATCACGTCATTTGTGGTTAGATTAACATCTTGGAGGTGATCTCCTTCTTGATCATGCCTTTGGTTTGATTCCATCAACAAGCCCAACAAGTCATTAGGAACAACTTCACCTTTTTTTATCACATGTTCTCTCTGTTCAATCATGATTTTAAGTAATGCAACAATCTCCTTGTGGATTTTGCTCCTTCGCTTGTTCTTTTGGGTGGGTATAAATCTATAATTCCAATGGTTGGTTATATTCTTGCAAGTAAAATAAAAAATCAATGAAACTTAATAGCTTTTCAGTAGAAAAATTAAAAATCATTTTTTTATCTATAAAACTATTTTTTAAATAATTGCAATATGATTCAAGATCTAGTTTATTAAATATGAATTTCCAAAAGGTTTTTATCTAAAACATGCTTCTCAACATGTATCTAAAGTTAAGCAATAGTTAAAAAATGAATCTAATATCAAATATAAAACAATATTTAAAATTAGAACTAAATTTAAAAATTAAATCAACATTGAATGCCGAATTGAACTAGAATCTAAATCCATCATCAATTGTGGAATTGAATTCTATGCCTTTTGATCTTGTGGATAAAGAAAGAAACTCTGAAAGCACAACACAAAACAAATTACCATTAAAAAAAAATTATTCATATGTTCAATAAGAGAATTATTGATTTTTAAATTTGAACTAGGCTTCTTTATTATAAAGCTATAAAAAGAATCCAACAAATATAACTACCTACAAGACAACTATCAAGATTAGCATTCCCTAGAAAACAAAAGGTTAAACCTCCATCCAATTGGTTGAAATCAGAGTACATAATTCATCTCTTACTAATTATAAGGCATTTTAGCTAGTTTTCTTTGATTTTTTTTTTTCAAATACATGATAGGCACATTATATTTGCTGTTTATCAGTTTAAGGAAAATTTTATGAATTTTAGAAAAAGTTAAATTTATATTTTTTTCATAATCTTTCATGGAATTGGCTATATTATTTTCATTGAGAAATACAAAAATTTTTTTAGCATTTTGTTATTGAATATATCCTATTGCTTCAAATTAATAATTAATATGCATGATTTGCATAAAGCAAATTGCTAATTATGATAATTAAAACATAGGACATATGCGAACAAGAGATATGTACAAATTAAATGAAATGATAAGATGATATAATTCATCTACACCTGAACAATTTCCTAAGAAAATCCTTAAGAAACTAACTGCTAGAAGAATATGGTTCTGTAAAGTCATAAAACAAATTTGGATTACTTGTAAGTTAAAAATCCTTAGAGAAAGTAATAGTAAATCCCTATTTTCATGTAAATGTCCTACGCCAAAATGTTTGAGAACTTGAGAAAAAAACGACATTTGTTTCGAGAAAATTAGAAAATAAAAAAGTACCTAAAACCAGGGATATACAAATTCCGAGAAGCCTGCATCACAAGCTCCATTTGCTCTCGCAGCAGTTCAAAAATGCGTCGTCCCACATTATAGCTGCTACCAAATGCCGAACGGGAGATGATGTCTCCCGAAAGCTTCTGAAATTCAGACCAAACATTTGTCTCAAACACACCCACATTATCAGCCAAGTCCTCCCATCGACTTATCAGCTCATCACAACAAGCAGAAAATGCTGGCATCATTATCTATACACACCAAAAAAAAGGAATATTTAAATACATACCATTCAATTCCTATGTATTTACAAATTACAATGGCGACGTATTTGATGTCATAGCAAAGATTTAGTTGGTATGATTATATAAAGCAAAATTTAGGCGTTAGATATGTAAATACCTTCAACTTTTCAACATGGAAGGCAGGGCTGACGATTCTCCTGCGTTTGACCCATTTCTCGCCTTCACAAACAGCAAGGCCCACAAAAAGTTGCCTTGAAATTGCGGTTGGTTTTACCTTCTCAAATTGGCCAAATTTAGTAGATAGAATGCTCTTTACAAGCTCAGGATCCATGATGATCACCCTGGGATGAGGGCGATAAGGCCCAAACCAAAAAAATGCCGCCTTGTTCTTACCTGTATGCATTTTGTTTTGGAAGACTTCCATGCATGCCACTAATTCCTATATATTTACATATCTAACACTACCTATGACATAAAAGGTGCGGTCACTTTTTACTAGTCAAAACTGTGATATTTTTTTGTTTAAAAATAAAGTATGGGAGGTATACATGTAAAAATTAAAATTTAGGTGGTAGGTAGATATGTAGCAATTGGGTGGTATGGATGTAAATGGCCCCCTTTTTTTAACAAATAAAACTAGAAATAGACCATGAGATCAAATTTCCCAGACAAGAATCTAATCTGATAAATTTGGCTTTGTAATTGAGACTGAATTGTAAAGAATCTAAAAAAATTGTGTTAAGAGAATGCAAAAAAAAAACAATTAATTAAATAAAGAAAGATTTACATACACACCACTTAATTCTTATTCATTTACATTTCTAACATCTAAACTTAATATATATATATATATATGTCATCTTATTTGTACATAAAAGTTAAGAAAAAAAGGGATATTTTTTATGTGATCTGAAAGATTTAGGTGGAATAAAAGGCGAATGTAAAGTTTAGATGTTAGGCATGTAAATATATAAGAATTGTGTGGTTTGTAAGTAAATGCCTCAAAAATAAATTTTCTACATAAATTTTTCATTATATTATTCCTTTGAACAGCAATACTTCTGATTAATATAGGTAATCAATTATAATTCTTGGACGATTGATAGAAATTCACCGGAATTTGGAAATACATAGTTATTTTTTGGTTTAGCTTAAGTCTGCTTGTGCGTCAATTAGCCAAAATGTATGTCTGAGAAGTCTGTTGTGGCCTAGTTGTTGTTATTACACTAAACTAATGAGTCATAATTTATAATTTATTGCTCAACATTTCCTATTTGCCTCTAATCCTACTGTAACGTGAGTTAAATTGAGCCCGATTAACCCTTGGCTTCAGAACACAGTTTAGCCAAAATTCATCCAATAAAATATTACTAGGAAATTAGTAATATGCGGTTATAAAATTTAGTATATGATAAATAGTTAATTAATGTATAATTTTTAAAATAAAAATTTATAATTCCTTTGATTTTATTAATGATTAATTTAAATTTTACTTAAGTTTAATTTTATTTTATATGCATTAACTATGCCAAATTTTTAATAATAACTGATGTGTGCCGGAAGATCTACGAAGATAGAGTAAGAAATTAGCATATTAATATTGCACGACAAAGAGATAAAAGAGTAGTGGGAGGAGAAACCACGATTTTACATGAAAAATCCTAGAAAGAGAAAAAAAATCACTGGTACGTAATTATGAGTACATATACTCACTCTTCTCCTAAATTAGAGAAGATAAAATTACAAAGTTAATGTATAATGGTAATTCAACAATAATAGTAAGGGCAGCAAAGACCGTAATTTATTGCTATGATGACAATAACCCACCATGAATGCTGCTGACAGTGGATGTAGTGCCAACTAATCGTAAAGATCGTAGTTGAATGTTGTGGTTGTTATTCACTTTGTAAGTCAACATGGTTGTTTTAGAAGCATCAGTTGGTCATAAATGTCTTAGTAGGGAGCTGCAGAAGCTATGAGCCACGTATGCTGCAATAACAACTCTAAGTTCTAAGGGCCAGAGTTAGGAGTTTCATCAGCTGTGAACCACGTAAGTCGATGTGGTCATGTTGTCTGTAATGATGAACTGCGATAATGTCTATAACCCATAAATGTCGGAATTGGAGGCTGCACGAGCTATGAATCATGTATTTCGTAGTTGGTCGCATAGGTCATAGTGGTGAGATGCAATAACGTTCGTAGGTCATAGAGGCTAGAGTTTAGAGCTACATGAGTTGTGAGTCATAGTTGGTCATGTTGGTCATGGTGATTAGCCGCAGTAATGTTCGTAGACCACAAAGGTCATAATTTGGAGTTGCATGAGCTACGGACCACGTAGGTCATAGTTTTTCATGTAGACCATAATGGTGAGCTATAATAACTTTTGTATGACACAAAGGCTAGAGTTTTCAACTACATGAGCTATAGTGTGTAAGAGGTCATGCACGCCGTAGTGGCGAGATATAATAACATATGTATGTCATAGAGGTTGAAGTAGGGATTTGTATGAGTGGACCACGAGGTCGTAGTTGATCACATAGTCCTTCGTGGTAAGCTACAATAACGTCAATAGGTCATATAGGACAAAGTTGAGAGTTACATGAGTTGTGGACCACATAGGCCGTAATTGAAAGACGTGATAGTAGTTGGTCGCGTTGGCCATAATGTTGAGCTACAATAATATCCGTATGTCATAGAAGCTGGAGTTGGGAGCTGCATGAGTTGTGGACCACGTTGGTAATAATTTGTCGCATAGGTCGTAGCGGTAAGCTACAATAATGTTTATATGTCATCGAGGCCACAGTTGTGAGTTATGTGAGTTGTGGACCATATAGATTCTAGTTTTTCAAATAAGTCACAGTGTGAGTTGTAATAGCATCAATTAGTCTCAAAGGCCAAAGCAGGGAGCTGCAATGAGGGAACTTAAAGAGCTTAAAGAAGGTCATCATCTTCCTAAGTACTACAGTTGTGAGTAGTTAATCATACTGGGGTGCGTTGTTACATCATCTTTGTGGTGTGATATTTCATCATCTTCAGAGATGTCATTAAAGCATCTTTAATATGCAACATTTCAAAATCTTCAGGGGTGTTTCATTACACCCAGCATTACTTTGTAAGGTATAGCTAAGGAGGCAGGAATGGGACAATGGCAAACGACGAGCAGTGGTCTATGGTGGTTGACAGTTGTAGAAGAAAAAAGTAGTTGTTAAGTCTTCAGTCTAAAATAACTCAAGAAATTGACTCTTTCTCTTCTCATTTAAGGCTAGGACTAGCTTCAGATTGCCTCCTCTAATTTAAGGCCTAGGTTCCCTTTTATAAAAGTCGTAGGACTCTTTTTGTAGAGTCCAAAATTGGTCTTATTATAAATAAGGATGGAATCCAAACTACTCCATCAGACACCTCAGAAATATTTCCTTGAAATGATGATATTTTGTTGACATTTAAGTCTCTTAACTATATGGGAATTAACCGATCTTGGGCTCATTGAATTTATCTCACTGAGATGCTTGATTTAAATAAAAGCTTTTTAGATTTGGAATCCATTTGACCTTCCAACTAGTCACCCAAAGATGATTAGAGCTTAATTTGACTCAGATTGGGCTGACTTTTGTGTTATTGGGTCCATCCCATTAAGTCGGCCAATTTGATTTTAAGTTTGCTGAAATTGAAGTTTTAGATGATTTTTAATTTGATTTTAAATGTTTTATGCAAAAAAAATATCTCGAGATTCATGCCACTTCTCAAGATTCGTGCCAAATGAGAAAATTTATTGATGGTTTATCGATTGCTCCACAATTTTTGTGCAATTTCAAATTTCTTCCCAAAAATTATCGAGATAGCCAAATTTTTTTGAAAATTTTAAAATTTTGTGATCGGCGTCGGCATGCAGAGGCCGACAGCTATGGTGGCGACCAGTGATGAAGGCTAGTACTGATGGCCAGAGATAAAAGTCAACGACGGCAGATGCAGGTAGAGGTAGAAGATGGTAGCAACTTATTAAATCAGGTGACAGTTGACAAGTTTCGGGGCAGTTGGGATAGCTTTGGGTCTGATTGGGTCAGTTGGGTGTTCAATTAGATGATGAGAGGATATAGTGATCAAGCAGGAAGACCGCGTTAGTGATAAGGGTACATGGACGATGGTTGACAACGACAGCGATCTGACAGATGCAAGATCAAACGATATAAAGTGGGAGTGATCTGGTGGACAAAAGGCGGCCACAGCAGCAATCCACGGGATCCATGATTTTTTTTCAAAATTTGGCCCCTTTTTATGATTTTGAGCTTATAAATAGACCAAAAAGAGGAGAAAAATTAGATTCTCATAATTAGTTATTGTGTGATCAATAAAATTCGCTTTTGCATCGTTGTTGCCTACCTTAGAGTCTCGCAGCCTATTTTTATTCAATCAATAGAGTTCCGTTTTGCATTTTTGTTGCCCACCTCAAAGTCTCCTAGCCTTTTTTTTTTCTTTTTTGTTTTTTTCCTATCAAAGACCACCCATTCTAAATTGTTGTTGCCCACTCCGGTGTCTCCCAGGCTATTTTTGTGCGATCAATGAAGCTCCCTTTTGTGTTGATGTTTTCTGCCTCAGAATCTTCCAATCTATTTTATATGCGATCAACAGAGCTCCATTAGCCTACTAACTGAGTCTCTCAACCTACTATTGAACCATAAACGGAGTTCCCTTTTGTGTTGCTATCATTCACCATTGAAGGAGATTTTTTGAGCTGCCAGTGCATTTTATGGAGAAAATTTTCTATGCCTTTGTTATACTTCCATATGAGATTTTTTGTGCTTTGAGATGCCAAATTCAAGGGAATCTTTTCCCCCAAAAAAATAGTAGAAGTAGCAAAATTTTGAGGAGGCGATGCTGACACCCTTGAAAGATGAACTGGCCTTTTCTTCAAGGTCATGGAAGACTGATCTTGCAAGGATTTACCACATCCTTGACAAGCACAAGAAGGTGAATAACTCATATGTAGTACACATATTATTATTGGTAAGTCAGTTAGCAAAGTGCAAAGATGAATTATCTTCTATGGTTGTTTTCTTCTCTCAGCAATACCAAAAACTCATGGATACTTAAGATTAACTAAGGGTGATACGGGGCTAGCCTAAATAAAAGTGTGGATACTTTGTAGGTTTTTCAATTGATGATATTATTTCTTCAAAGGGAGAATATAAAGTTTTGATGTTGGTGCACAGGAGGAGAATTTTGTTGATGCTTCAAGTAAAGGTTTAACTGATCGTGTAGTTAGACCGCAATTGATCCAAAGGGCAAGTCTTTATTCTAGGCACTAAAGCTCTCTTCTTTGGGCTCATAATGTGGGTCTAATTGAAAGTGACTTGTAGGAACGTACTCCTAATACTGAGGAGGTGTTGTAGTGGATT